GACATCGTTTGAATGCTCGTCTAATGGACCTGAGACTGAAGAGATGCCGCGCTTTGTTGAAGCGGTACGCGGGAAAAAAATATCGGGAAATTATTTTTTCGGATGAAAAATTTTTTACCGTAGAAGAGAGCTACAACAAACAAAATGATAAGGTGTACGCACACAGTAGTGAAGAAGCGAGCAACCGTATTCCGCGTGTCCAACGAGATCATTTTCCATCCTCGCTCATGTTATGGTTAGGAGTTTCTTATTGGGGCTTAACAGAGGTACATTTTTGTGAGAAAGGTGTAAAAACGAACGCAGTTGTGTATCAAAATACAGTCCTGACGAACCTTGTGGAACCTGTTTCTCATACCATGTTCAATAACAGGCAATGGGTATTCCAACAAGATTCGGCGCCAGCTCATAGAGCGAAGAGCACACAAGACTGGCTGGCGGCGCGTGAAATCGACTTCATCCGACACGAAGACTGGCCCTCCTCCAGTCCAGATTTGAATCCGTTAGATTACAAGATATGGCAAGACTAGGAGGAAAAGGCGTGCTCAAAGCCTTATCCCAATTTGGAGTCACTCAAGACATCCTTGATTAAGGCAGCCGCCGATATTGACATGGACCTCGTTCGTGCTGCGATAGACGACTGACCGCGCAGATTGAAGGCCTGTATTCAAAATCATGGAGGTCATTTTGAATAAACTTTAGTGTCATAAGAATCTATGTTTTGTTAAGTTCATTTTGGTATATGAATGGTTACATAATGAATAAACTTGTTTCAATTATTTTACATTAAACATGTGACAGAATTTATGACCTGACTAGGTATATACATACGAACATTACGATTAACGTGGCGTGACGAATAATAAACTTATATCAATCAAAAATGACGTGTCAACGTTAATTTAATAGAAGGTTATGCCAAAAAAAACCAGAAAAAAATGCATTTAATGTTGCCTAATACAATAATAATCTAATATTGGAGACAACTTGTGAGGGGTACACTAGGACAACAACAATACATTGTTTAATACGCTGATCGGACCAGATACGCCTTATTCTCAACTCTTCAGTCCACGTTGCTATCCACGCAGCCGAGGATAGACAGGAGCGGCGCGGGATAATCCAGGAGAAAGTCTTTAAAGGAGACCACGATCCTCCGCATTGAGGATTTTTTTTTTCCTACCTAAGCTGAGAGAGAGCCTTGAGAGGCTATATCAGCGTAACCTTAACTAGTAGATGAGCTCACGGGGCTCAAACCTGACGACGTTGCTAACACGAACCCTAGCAAGAGCCGTGATTCGCAGAATCTACCACCGGATCGGAAACGCGACCCACTGAGAAGATCCGGCGAGAAACTCAGTGGGCTGTGTCTGAGGTTTGTCGAGGATTATCGATGCAAGAAGGAATACATTGGCGGAACACCAGACAAATGGTTTGATTAAGTAAAGAAAAACGGCCAAGTAAAGAAATAATGAAATGAGTGCAGTAGAATAGCCTCGAGCAGGGAGAGATGGCGCGACATCATGAGACGCATCAAGTCTGCCCCTTCCAACACTACATGACGATCACGACCACTCTGTCAAGAGTGACACGACTGAGAAAAAAGAAAACGGTTGGTGGTAGTCTATGCCTTACGGTCCATGCCACCCATGACCGAACAATAAGGAGGAAAGTCACATTTGGTCGCGATCCTCAGCAGTGAGGGAACGATGAAGAAGAAGAAGACATTTGCAAGTTTATAGTAAATATCGTTTGACCTTGCAAGTACTAAGGTTTGTTGGGGAACTACAACAGCGACAAATACGGTATTCATGTGGCTCTACAAGTAAGTCGACAAAATACGGAGAAATGTCGAATGTTAGAAAGAATTGGCTACGTATCACACCGGTCACTCACATTCGCACGAATACGCAAACCCGCAAGTGTAGGATGACATTTGCAAAGGATTATGCAAAGTTTTCGCTGCATTCGTGGTTTTCCAAGCTGTGTCGGTTTTTTAACAGACATCAAAGCGCGCGAACCGCGATCCTTCGCGTAGTCTCCCACACATTCGTGTGACCAGTTGCGCCCACGATTGCGAAGGTAACGAACGTTTCGCTATTTTCATAGATCGTGACGTCTACGTGTGTAGCGTATCTTCATCAAAAGAAATCCCATAAAATCAGCATGGCTGTTAATGATGTCTGGGAAAGAATTCAAAACTCTTTTTCTCTTCAATGTTCTATTGACGAATTAAAAAAGAGGAGAAATTCGTGAGACATTCGTAAACAAGTGTAGGAGGAACCGCAAACGGGTTCGCAAATTGAGTATGCGAACCCATTTGCACAGCTTCTAAGTTTGCGAATGAATGTCTGACGGCCCTGTACATTGTACGAATGTTTGCGCGCATGTGAGTGGCCGGCATTAATAAAATTTAGGTATCTCTGGTTCGAGTCAAGAAAAATGAGTTCGATTAAATTTAATTTTTCATAACAAAGTTGAGCAACAATCACAAAATATAATTATACATTTCATAATAAACAGCTACAATTAATTCACATAAATTACATTTAAATGCCAAATGCTTGTTTTACTTATTTTTCTTGAAATTTTAATTACAAATTGTCTTCTGTTTTTTTCTGCTGGTTAGAAGACTATGGGTATATAATTCAAAGTCAGAAAAGGTAGTGTTATAATACTATGATTTAATAAGCTATCAAATCTGATACTACATACCAGTATTGCCAGTACAATAATATGTATTAACATAATATTATTATTATTATTTAGTATTTCATCGTAATAACAATTCTACCGGCGAAAAATCAACTTCAAAAATTCTTCATACAGGTAAAATAATCTAGATTTTTAGCTTTTAACATTACAAAATTTTCAATTAATTATTAATATTTTTGACTTTAACGCAATATAAATAGTTCAACACAAATTTTCACGTCATTGGTATCAAAGATATTTTTTGCATAACCCATTTGCGCCTAGCGTGAAGTCAAGCGAACTATTTAACTATCGTCAAAAAAGCTACTTGAATGTGTAACTAGCTATTATTATTCCTAGACAGAAATAGGAAGCGTATAAATAGAAGACAATCTAATTGCCGATTCTGAGTTGCATGTGAATGTAAACACAACGACGAATATCTATTTTTTTTAACATTCGCATAATCATTTACATTAAAACTAATGCTTAGTATTAACAGCAGGGACTGATTTATTTACAAATCGAAAATAACTATATAAATACTAATCATTCGAGTTTCCGGCAAATCATTGTTATTATATTATAACAAACATGTTCGAAGCTCTAAAAAAAATATATCCAAATTTTGGTCTCGATTGAAAATTAATAAAATGATCTTCAAAAAGTGACCGTGAACATTAATGTGGAGGTGAACCAGTTGCATGTACAATGCGAAGTACTGATTGAAGTATTTAATTTACTCATAAAGTTTCGGCAACTTAATTCACGTGTCTAATAAGTTTGATAATTAAGGATTATATAAAACAGCAGTACAATTTCTGTCAGTCTAGCTCCATTGATCATATTAAATTTACTCAAAAAGTTTCGTCGAGTTAACTCACGTGTCTAATAAGTTTGATAATTAAGGACTATATAAAACAGAAGTACAATGTCGGTTTAGCTGCAGTGATCAAATTAAATGTAAAGTTCACTCACCTTGCAAATTTTCAATGTTCTCTTGGACTTCAGGCATGACGTGCATGAAAGTCGTTGAGAGCAGCACACCTCCTCCGAAGGAGAGCAGAGTCATCACCACCCGATTCGTAGACTTGAACGTCCCCGCGTCTTCTACGGAGAGCCATCGAAACTTTCTCGCGATGATCTGAGGTATTAGACCACATATCATGGAGGCACAGAAAAGCACCACCATGGAAATGCCTTTGGCCAATACAATACCATCTGTATCGTCATCGTGGTCATGGCTGTGTCTGTAAGCCATTTTGTTTGTTTGTCTGTTGGCCCGGTGTGGTAGGAGTGCGAGTGGGCTTCGTAAAGGACGCGTACTCTTTTATACCAGAGAACGATATCAGAAAGTGCGCGTGCGCTGTGACGGAGCGACGCGCCGGTACTATGCGGCAGCCGGCCGGGGACACAGTGCGCTCCACTCCTGCGCAGGTACGACCGCCTGCGAAGCCTTAAACACCACATAGCCCACATTTCACGTGCAATTCAATTATTTAGCCGTGACCATAAAATGTTTAACAATTCGTAAAAATTGCATTCGAGTTCAAATAGATTCATTATCTACGCTCTCGCCGACGCAGCCACTAAAAATTCTAAGCCTTGTTTGCGTTGAAAATCGTATGCAGCGCGTAATCGCATTAGTCTGTAAACGTTTAAGAAGTTCACAAACAAGTCTTCTCCTTAATCACCTTGGAGGATAAGAAACAATCACAATGCCATATCATAACAGAATTATTCTGAACAACGACATTAAGACGCTTGTTAAGTTATTGTAAAGCTATAACTTAAGTGTGAAAATTATATTATTATTCTATGACATTAACGAAACAAAAAGTCGTATCATTGCCATGACCGCACTTTTAACGTAGATAATGTAAACAACTTATCATTGTAGATTTATTATGGAAATATGTTAGAATATGCGGCGTTCTCATGAACGAATAAGGAAGACGAGTTCACGTACTGTGCCCGTGCTATAATCGAATTTAGACATGTGATCGAAATAAGCTATGGGTGATAAAAAAATAAGTAGGTCAGTTTTTCCACCAGTACGAGTGCAGGTCTTGTGAAATCTCTAATGTAAATCGAATGTATATCGATTAAATCTATCGAATAATAATAATCGAATAATCGAATCTATACTATAAATTAAAATCAATGCATTTGATGGCACAATACTTATCTATGTGATGTAAGAAACATTTATTTGTTTTTTTATCGATAAACCTTTGATAGACAATAAATGTCATCCTTCTATTTTTTCTGTGACTAAAAGGGTAAATATAGCCTAGTCATATTCTAGTCACTTGAGACTTGAAGTCTCAATTGCATTAGCGTAAATACAGATTAGAAAATGTATGTAGTATATATATATTTCAAGGGATTTTATGACCTGGTAACAAAGACCAGTAACCAAGACAAGTCTTAATTTTCATGAAAACTTTTTTATATGAAAAATGATATTATGAAATGGAAAGGAATGAAGTTGATTTATATGAAACATGGCATGAAATGAAATAAAATGAAATGGAAATGAAATGAGATGAGATGATGTGGGATGAAATATAATCTCAGTAAAATGATCATTTAGATACTGAGACTTTTTCAGTGGACTTTTAGGAGGATCCCGAGAAGTTAAGTTCAGCGGCTTTGTTTCATTTTTCCACATTTGTGCACTTTTACAGATACTAAACAGTTAATAAACCACCGTTATTACAACATTTAAACCCGAAGAAACATTAAATAGACAAAATAAAATAAATCACACAACTTTACTCGTCGCGTTCTCGCCAAAAAGTTCCTAGTGTATATAACACGTGCATCATCTGACATAGATTACATTATTAAGATATTTTTTTTCTTATTAAACACATTCAGTGGTAGTAACATATGAATAAATACAGCCAGACTCCAATGTCAAACATTCTTATCTATTAAATACTGACTCCAACCGGAATCCTGAGGTACAATAATTTGGATCGCTAACCACAACATCAAATGAGACGATGGAACTGCACTTCCAGCCTAATATCTACACTAAGCAAAGCCAGTTTCCAATTAGGGGAACATTAAATACTTCACCTTAGACGCCTTCCGCTCTAACACTAGGAGTAGAGACCCCAGTAACCGTAGGTACTCGTTGAACTCGGCAAAGAGTTCGACGTGCAACCTAACCGCATCAGCCCGTTAAGTTTCTCGCCGGATCTTTTCAGCGGGTCGCGATTCCGATCTGGTAGTAGATTCATTCGCGAAGCAGCTACCCTTGAGTTGTTAGGTCTCCTTTGGAGGCGCTCGGATAGCTGCTAGCAAATCCTGCCCCTCTGGCTGAGCCCTTGCTCGCCCACCTGCCCTTGTGAAACTGGAAACCAGTAAACACTCAATCATAAATAAAAACTTCACCTTAAACCGAATGTTTATTGGCTACAACAGTGTCGATCGGTAATACAGTTTAAATTCATTTAAAACAGGATTTAAATTTAATAGTGACAGGACAAAAAAAATATTTTCACTATGAGGAAAATAAGTGGGCGCAAATGTAATCTGCGGTTTCTCGCTTATTTTGGGATTTCGGTGTATGTAACATGGTATCGTAAAGTATAACCTAGTCTTTCTCTGTAAAGCAGCTTTGTAACGGTTAAATACCGTTTAAATTTGAACTGGTAGTTCCTTACGTAATTACTTTGAAAGATTCCAAACCTGTCGTCCGTGAACACCTGGTAGGTATTTATTTAGGAAAACTGGTATCTGTTTGCAGGATTTAAGCTCCGGCATAAACTTCATCTTAACTAAATATTTATGGCTCTTATGGCTATTTTAGGGCTCCTATCTCGCTTATCGAAGCTGCGAAAACAATAAAAATAATTACAGCAATTATCTGTCATTCCAAAAAAAAAACTGTCGAATCCAGCTAGACTCAGACCAAAGTCTGGACGTTGTAGATTAAACTATCGGTTCAAACTTGCCATTTGCATCCGAATAAAACGCGCAGCCAGGATTGGAACCATTCAAGTGTGTTGTCATATGAGTAAACCGTCATACTTGACACACTTCGATTTATGTTACTTTATTTTGTGTGAAACCTACGCAACGAGTGACGTGGCAGCTTTATTGCACAACCCACGCTAAGGAATATAAAATAAACTATGTTACAATAAAAAGTAAATTATATTTTCATATTCAAGTAAAATTACACCAAAGGACTCAAATGCTACTGGTGGTAGGACCTCTTGTGAGTCCGCGCGGGTAGGTACCACCGCCCTGCCTATTTCTGCCGTGAAGCAGTAATGCGTTTCGGTCTGAAGGGTAGGGCAGCCGTTGTAACTATACTGAGATCTTAGAACTTATATCTCAAGGTGGGTGGCGCATTTACGTTGTAGATGTCCATGGGCTCCAGTAACCACTTAACTCCAGATTGGCTGTGAACTCGTCCACCTATCAAAACAATAAATATATGTGTGGATAATATAACTAAGTTCTATGCAAAATAACTACACTTGTCTATTATCCATTAAAAAATTCAGACTCTAAAGGTATATTTGGGTTTTGCAGACCGTGGTATGTTGTTAACAATTGAGGATGTTATCTCTGAACTACTGATGTTATTATATTTGATTAAATTCATAAATACCTAATATTATCTGCGGCTTTCACGAATCATAGATATAATTAAAACAACTTTTACGACTTGAACTGTAAAAGTTGTTTTAATCTCAAATACCCGTTCCTTTTATCTCCTTATGTGCTTTCACTCCTTCTTTCTTGATAATAAAAAAAGCTGTATGTCCTTCATGTTTTGAAACTTTGCATTATACTACGTGGGAAAAAAGTATTTTCCAAACTTTTTTAAAACCACTATTCACCATAATCCGCCAAAATCACTTATCTCAACGTTTTGTCTGATGATAAGTCTTAAGCCGTTCTCGTTTGCAAATTATTTGTTGCTATCAGAAACTTAAAAAGGTATTTACGGTAAGGTAAAGGTATTTTCAAAGCAATTCAAAATGCAGTGCGCTTGCGTAATAATCCATTTTTCTTTATAATCCAATTCGTTATTTGAGTCGACTATTATCAAAGCCGGCAATGTGACTTTTGGACAATTATTGGTAAATCAGAAAAACGAATTATTGACTTTGTATTCCATTGGCAGTCACAAAACTGTTCTGAACGACATCTTAGATAAATAACAGGTTTACCTATTAACCTTTATTTAATGCAGGTTTTGAACCGTATTCTTTGAAGGAGACGATTATATTCAAATCAATCTGTATTGACATATCAATAATATTTTTTTGTCCAAATGCACAGATTGCCACCTTTGATAATAGACGACTCATTTATAACTACCTCATAATAATAGTGACTTAGAACACATGTCTCGAAGTGGGTGGCGGCATTTCCTTGTTGATGTCTGTGGACTCCGGTCCACTTTACATCAGGTGAGACGTGAATTCGTCCACCTATTTATGAAATATAAAAAATACCATACGTGTCGGATATAAATTTTGCTATATACTATATATTATATCAATCGCTAATTTCTAATTGCTTATGTGTTAGATATCATCTGCATCACCATCTTACATAGTTTATTGAGATTAACCAGACCACTAATACGGTATTTACTGGTGGTAGGACCTCCTGTGAGTCCGCGCGGGTAGGTACCACCACCCTGCCTATTTCTGCCGTGAAGCAGTAATGCGTTTCGGTTTGAAGGGGGGGCCAGCCGTTGTAACTATACTTGAGACCTTAGAACTTATATCTCAAGGTGGGTGACGCATTTACGTTGTAGATGTTTATGGGCTCCAGTAACCACTTAACACCAGGTGGCCTGTGAGCTCGTCCACCCATCAAAGCAATAACAAAAAAATGAAAAAAGATAAAACGAGAATCTCGCAAAATTTCAGATATTTACAGACACTCTGCGCTCAAAGAAAAACATGGCGGCCGTTTCTTTAACCTTTATTATGTTTAGAAAGGCATGAACGATAATATCAGAATTTAGAATAAAGTATTGATACTTTCATTATTTGCACCATTAATATTTATGCAATGCTTGCAAATGTGAAGCGAATCATACGTACACTGTAACTCGAATACGCATGTACAATTACCTACCATGACTTTGAATAATGTGATTACTTGCAAAAGCTATATTTAATGGGCACTATTTTGGCCTCTTACTTCCTGTTGAATCTGATCATTTTGTGTCACATCACTACTAGATTCTACTATGTTTGAAGTTCAACCAAATCATGTGCTGGCGCAACTTATAACGAATCCACTAGCAGAATATCTAAGTACCATTATTGCTTCAATTATTTTTAAGCTAAATTAGTAAATATAGAATTAAGCTTAATAGGTCGCGACCGATCAATTATTAAGATTGTT